TAGCTTTGCACTATCTGGGGCTGGCAAATTCTTAAAGATGAACCTTTTTCTCATAGTGTGTTTGTGCTCTTCAGAGAATCCCTTGCAGGGTCCGATCCCTCTGACAGTAGATCTGGGTGGTGGGCCATGTATACTGTCCCCTGCTGTGCTCTCTTCTTTTCCCTTATTTTCTGAGCTTCCCAATCCACAGAGACTTTGGAGCCTCGTTGCTCCCAGGAGGTTGCAGAATCCAGAGTGGCTCCACCCAGCTTTTCCCCTGTGGGATGGGATTAAGTCACACAGGGCAGCGGCTATCTGCAAAAGAATCCCTTTTACATATGCTCCCCTTGTGTCCACCCTGGCAACCCTTTTGTAGCCTTCTTGCAGGTTTTAGGGATGCTTATGCAGTTTTTAATAATGCTCTTTAAAATTTTCATGAAGTGATGTGGTACCTCACTTTGGAATTTCGTATTTATAGGATCTTTGGTGCTTCAGCAGTAAGTTCCAATTTAATATTCTATTATCCTGTAATTTAAACTTCTGTTCCTCTTCCAAAATAGGACAATTCCTAGACCACTGACTTATGTCAAAATGCTTTCCTATATATTAGGGTTTTTCAACCTCAAAACTATTAACATTTTGGACCAGGCAACTCTTTGTTGTGGAGGACTGTCCTGGGCATTATAGAATGGTCAGCAGCATCCCTGACTTCTTACCCACTAGATGCCAGTATCACCCTCTCCCTCCTAGTCATGACAACAGAAATGTTTCCAGACATTGCCACATGTTCCCTGGGGGGGAATATTGTCCCTGATTGAGAACTACTGCCATAAATTTATGAGTACAGGTCAAAGGGCAGACATGTTAGAAACAAGGTTTACAAGTTGACCTAGACAAGACTGGTGGCCCTGGCAGCAACCTCAGACATTCACCTGGTCCAACTCCACCTTATAAACGAGGAAACAGCTCAGAGAGATGAACAGATTACCTGATGTTGCAAAGTCCCTATCACAGGTAGGACTGTGAAGAACTTAGGTCTCCTGACCTTTGTACAGTGCTCATTGTGAGGTTGGGGATAAATAATTATTAAATTTCAACAGCACTGCTAATTTTAAAGTACCTATGCTTAGGATTTTCTGTGCCAAAAATAGAACATAGAAAAACCTTATCTAATTAGTTAGTGAATAGCACTGAATTAAAATTGGACACTACAATTAATCAATGCTAAATTGTAGTCAAACCCATTACCCTTGAGTAGATTATCTGTGTGACCCACAGTCTCCTTCTGACACCATGCGTTGCGGGTCTGCAGGCACGGATTGGAGGGCTTGGAGAAGATGGGAGACTGGGGGTGGAAGGGAACCTGTGAGTGGCAGTAAATCATTTTTGTGTTATCTGTAGTTTGCTTTTATCTATGTCACTGCTCCTCTCCATTAACAAAGCTAATTGAGAATTGACTATTGCAGACTTTTATTATAGATGTCTAGAGATGGTGAGATGCATGCAGAAAAAAAACAGAAATTATTCAGTTGTTTATTCTAACTATGGTCAATTTCAGGACTAAATAATCAAATTTTAGGAAATTTTCTTTCTCTGTTTTTCAACTAGAGGGCCCTTCAAATTTTTTTAATCACTGAACAAAATATATGCTTTCCATAGAATTGTTAGTTTTCTGTTTAGCAGTGTTTTGTAAGAAACAGGCTTCAAATGTGAAATTTAGCTATTTCCCTAGTATTTTATTTCCTAAAGAGTACATTTCATTTCTGAATTCACTTTGTGTGCTTAGATCTGAACTGTGGTGTTTTATTTGCATGGGGACCTCCACCTGAATGCTTGCCGTCCTCCTGAACTCAGCTTAAGTCTCAGGTTATTGGGACTCACTGCCCACCTCCCAGAGGAGCCTTTCTCTCCCAGTTCTGTCTGTGGTACCCCTTGGTTAGAAAAGTGGAAATTATCTGTGATTCTTCTCTCTTAATAATAATTAAAAAATTTAAGTAATCAAAAATATTACTATCCATTTACTTACTATGCACCAGACACTGTGCTAACATGTATCCAGGCATTTAATCCGCACAACACTCCTCAGCAGGCAGGTATCTTTGTTCCCCGTCTCAGGTGAAAGAACTAATCAGCACGCCAGGGTCACTCAGCTGTAGGTGTTGGGGCGGGGACTCTCTGGAAACCCCTGGCCCAGGCTCTTAACCACCACGTGGTGCTGCCCCCTTCGCTTAGAATCCTGGGTCCTGGGCTCTCTCTCTCTCTTTAAAATGTCTCCAGGAGTTGTCCTTTTCTCTGTGGCCTGCTGCCTTATGCCTAGATTCTTCTAAGCGCCTCCTCCGCAGTGACACAACCTCACACCATCTGCCCCCAAACGCTGCTTTCTGTAAGCCATTCCTTCCATCTAGTCCCTCTGTGGCTCCCTGTCACTTACCGTATTAAGCCAATACGTTGTCTGAGTCACTGCGTTCCGGCCTCTGCTCCCCCACCCGGGTGGGTCAGCTCACGCCTGTCCCTCACCCTCCATCACCTGGGAAAGTGATGGCTTTGCCCCCGTTTCCCTAGAGCCTGTCCAGTCACTGAGCCCCGGCCTGACACTTCTTTTTCTGTGAAATTTTGCTGTGTATTGTAGTCCACTTGATCCCTAATTTAGGTGGTTCACCCCAGTTAAATTCTTAATTTTCCTCTCACCATTTTATACGTGTTACTTACAAATCTTACAATCTTGTGGCTCTGTTGTGTTTCCTAGAGTCCTAGGGCTTGATGACCTTCAAGGCACTGGCAGTACATAAGTGCTTGTTGATTTATTTGGCACCACTTTTCAAAGCTGGGAAGTTACACAGGGATAGAGGTAAGGCTTGGTGGAAGTCTCTGAGCCTTGTTGATACCACCACGAACAGAGATACTCGATCTTGAAGATATGAAGCTTTCCCAGCAATATTTTAACATCATTATGGGTGGGGGATTCCTATCAATTTTTAAACCAAATCATGTTAAATCAAACTTTTTTTTTCGATTTCACAATCTGTATTTATGTGACTTGTGAATTAGAACAAGGTCTAATCATCTATTTATGACTGGGGGTTATTAATTGTCATTAACTTTGAGAGAAGTATTTGTTCTGATTCTAAAATGGATGTTTCTAATGTTACTGGTAAAGAAGTCTACCCATTTCTAAAGAGCATCTTATTTTGGACTTTTTACATTTCCTTGCTGACTATAGTAAGTTTCTGAATCTTATGAGTTAGGATAGTACACCTGATTTTGTTAAAGGAATTTTAGAAATAGAAAAGATTTTGATTTGTTAATGACACTAAATATTTTTTAAAGATAATTTTTGGTGCTGACAGAAATCGATAGCTGCACAAAGTGCATTTTTAAAGGCTTCTTCACAGGCAGGAAACAGGTAGGTCTAGAGTTTGTTATTCGCTCACTTTTCCCCTTAGCTTGCAGTATCTAGCTTTGGCTAGGTAGAGGAAAGACCTGTAAATGTTATGGGTGATGATGTTCTAACTGTGTTTTCTTAGATTCTGTATTTGTCTATTTGGCCTCCATTAACTGCAGGGCCAGAGTAAGGGCCAAAGTTTACCTCTCCAGCCGTCCAGAGCCGGTGCTCTGATCTACCTCCTTATTTAACTCTCTCACATCAAGCCAATATTCCCCTTGCCCTAAGTCATCCAGGGCCAGGACCCAGACAACCAGAGACACCCCAGAGCCCAGTACTCAAACTAGCAAATTCTCTGAAGCTGTTATCCCTCCTCTGCCTTTCCTGCGTAAGATGCACTAAAGGCTCCTTTCTGAACTTTCCCCTCGAAACTGCTTCTGCTCCTGACCGTACTGTGACCCCTCCCCCCATGGCCCTGTGAGGTGTGGAAATTCCTCTCGGGAAATGTAAGTGATAAAAATTTTTTGATGGCATTGGCCTCTCCATGTCACCACTCTGTGACCCCCGTAAGTTAAAATCCCATGGGTACAAATGAGGCAGACAACAGTGATTTCCTGGGGCTTTTTCTCTGTCAAGTGTGTCTGCATTCTTTATTATATCACTCTCATTTTCTGTCCTTGTCCTGTGCTCTTGGAAACATGATGTCCACAACTTTAAAAAGCTATTTGACTATGCAAAATATGTCCTGAAACCTATAAATTGAAGAAGCTCCAAGTAGGTTCCTCCCTTAGAGATGAGGACCTGCAGTTGGAAGGAATATGGTGAGGTGGGAGGGTAAGGACAGGCACGGAAGACTCTGATAGGTGAAGCAGATATAAGGGCAGAGGAAACAATCTCTGGAAGTAATGTAGGGCCACCTGGAACTCTTGACCCAAGGGCTGCACAAGCTATAGGCTGGGACCCTTCCCTAGCATGAGAGCACTCATTCACTCACTCATTCGCTGTGAGGTCTGTCTGGCTGTGACACGTCCCCCCAGTGACTATCAGGGTTGATTCACTGATCTGGCTGGCTTGGCAGGTGTCCCCTTCCTCACTTACTGCTCCATGTGTGTACCTCCTGGAGCTGCATGCTCATTCAAAGAGGATGACCTCCTCTGGTAGATGAGGACCATTATTCAGTTAGGGGAGCTCAAGCTTTCATATATTTGTTCACCTGTCCTCCCACCCATTAACCTTCTGCCCACTCAAATACTAGACGGGCCTGGTTCCAGTGCTTGGGGTACATCATCAAAGACAGTCCTTGCCCTTTGGAAGTTCATGTTCAAATGAGAGAGTGGGAATGGGCAGGTGAACGGGTCCTCCAGGTAGTGACAAGTGCTGTGAATGAGATGAAGTAGGGCAAGGAGAGCGCCCAAAAGGGGTGGGAAGCACTATTTTAGCTAGGATGGTGGGGGAGGGCCTCTGATGGGGGTGACTTTGAGAGGGACTGAGAATATCAGGGAGGCAAGCCTTCTAGGCTGAGGGAGCAGCAGGCAGGAAAGCCTGAAGCAAGTCGCAACAGGAAGGCAGATGTGACGGAAGCGGAGGGGAAGCCTGAGACAGCCGGGCAAATGCACTGTTGTCATCTGAGTGTGAACACTAGATGCTGCTCGGGGAGCAAGAGATTCTGCACACGGGCTGGCAGCAGGGTGGGGACAGCACGGGAGCAGTGCGCTATCAGTAGTAACGGTACCAGATACCAGTACTAGTGTGAATGCCCGCGTGTCCCAGGCGCCAGTCATTTATGAACAGTACCTCATTTATCTCTACATTAGTATATGCTTTTATTAAGGCAGTACGTGCACATAGTTAATCAAGAAGAAAGGCTCATAACAAACAGCAGGAGTCCTCTGCCTTCTTCCTCCCACCTCTAATCATTTTCTCCCGAGGCTACGATTCTCAACTTCTTAAACCATGTCTTCCTGCATTTACCCCCTTATTTCCAGATCCTGTGCTCACACTGTTACATCATGCTTTAGTCCTTTCCTCTTGACTTTTGTGGTAGATGATGATTTAGCTCTAATTTACCTCCCTCCCTTCTTACCTTCAACCCTTAGATGTATAGATTTCTGTTCAATTGATAGTGTTTACATTGTTACGACTAGGTAAATATTGTTCACAGCCTAGTCTATAAGCATAATATAATCATTTTTCCTCAAACTACCTTTTTTCCCCCTGAAGTAAATAATTGCCCTCTTTTATTCCTTGTTCAGTTCTAGGTACATATCACTATTGTTCCTCCAAATTTGCTGACAGACCTGTCACCCAATGTCTATCAGTAATTTGTCCAGTCCCAAACACTCAATCATTTCTGTTCCTCCTCCCGCTGACTCCTGTCCTGCAGTCTTTGATCCCTCCTCACATTTGGACTGGGTACTCTTTGGGTGTGAGGAGCACCTCTCCTCCACTTTCCTGTGTTAGATTTCCTCTTTCGTGGACCCCATGCTTCTTTTTTTGGTTGATTCCCTTAATTTGCTAAAGGATATCTTCCAGAAACTTCCTAAAAAGAGTACATGGGAAGTAAATGGTTTTGATTACTTGCATGTCTGAAAATAAATGTATTCAGACTGCATATTTGATTGAATGTTGAGCTAGGTATACCATTCTAGATGGAAAATAACTTCCTCAGAATTTTGAAGATATTTGTCTGTTTTCTAGCATCTAGAAGTTCTGTAACATTCTGATTTCTCTCTTTTTTACATGTAATCTATTTTTTGTCTTTAAAATACTCTTATATTCATTCTGTTCCTGGGTCCTGGAATTTGAGATTGTTGTACCCTTTAATCTCCCTTCAAAAACATGTTAGAAAAGTGTCCTGAAAAGAGATGGAAAGTTTCCAGAAATTCTGAGGCCATTAAACAACAACAAGCAAAAACCTTTCTGGGAGAAGGGTATGATGATAGTGGAGATGGTGATCAGAAAGGAAGCAGAATTTTTGAAAGCAAATAAAATATTCAGTACTTTTTTTGCTTCCTTTAAAACAGTGGTTCTCAACCGAGAGTGATTTTGCTACCCAGGGGACATTTGGCCGTGTTTGGGATATTTTTGGCTGTCATGACTTTGGATGTGAGTGCTGCTACTGGCAGTGGTGAGTAGAGGCCAGGGATGCTGCACAGGAAGCTCCCACAACGAAGGATTACCTGATCCAAAATATCAGTATTGAGGTGATTAAGAAACTCTGCTTTAAAGATTTCAAGTTTCTTCATTAGTTAGAGATGTCGGTAATTCTGAGCAGATTGGTTTCATTCTCCATTCATGTACCCATTCCACACGAATTTAGTGGCATGTCCAATAAGTGCAGGGCACTGTACCGGCCCTCACAGAACTTACAGTCTCTTGAAGTAAATTGGCTTGATTTTATTTTGGCATATTTAGAGATTCTATGAAGTAGACTAATTTTCTCTCAGTCTGAGGGTTGCAGAAACAAATTTCTTCAAAGAAAAAGCACCGTGTCCAAGTTTTGCTATGTTTGGGTCTATACTTTCCCATCCCTAACCCTGGTGAGCATGTGCTGGAGAGGGCGAGTCAGGCCGATGTGTGTTGATCAAGGGTAGAGACACCTCAACACTGCCTCTGGCCTGGATGAGACCGGTGGCTTGTACCCCCTGCATCAGAGTCAGCTGAAATGCTTGTTGAAAGTGCAGATTCCTAGGACCTGGCTCAGACAGGAGGAATCGGAATCACTAGGGAATAGCCAAAAATCAGTATTTTAACTAACTATCCAAGTGATTTTTTTTTCTCAGTGGTATCTGAGAGCCTCTGGCCCAGACCATGTCTATGTCAAAATGGGAGTGAATATTTGGACCCAGGGCTGAAAATATTGGTGATTAGCTCATAGTGGCTTTAATTTTAGGTAGAAGAACCATTAGCATCAAGTTTAGAGCACCATCTCTGTCTTCACACTGCCCCAACTGACGCCCAGTTCACCACTTACTATTAGCTGTGTGACACTGAGGAAGTAACCTAACCTCTCTGAATCCCAGTCCCCTCATCTGTAAAATGGCAATAGCAGTATATATTTCATAAGGCATTTATTGGGATTCATGTGAAATGCTTAGGACAGAGTCTGGCACATAATCAGTGCTCAGTATCAAACTTATAAAGAAACCCAACTCTGGTGATACAGAGAAGAAAATTCTTGATCTAAACTTTAGCGATTTCTCCAGCACAAGATGGTGCCTTCAGTTTCAAACAGTGTTATTTCCCCCCTCATTCTTAGAATGGTGAGGCCAGATTATTGGTTACCTTCTCAGAATCCCATTTTCCCCAGACTTCATGCACGTGTGTGCTCATATACAATATATACGAGTGTGCACACACATTCACACACAGATGCTACACGTACCACACACACCACACACTCCATACACATGCACCCACACGCGCTGTCTCACGCACACGTGCTGTCTCTCACACACAGCTCTCTTTCTCACACACACACTTCTCTGCAGTTCCCGAGATGGGGCTTTCTCCTTCACGGCCCAGCATCTGTCTGACTTTCTTTGTTCTGGGAAAGCGTCTTGTCAGCACTCTCCTTTCTAAGATCTGCACCGAACGGCGGCCTGTCGGCAGTAATAATTAGTCCCTTTTAGATGGTTCGGGCTTAATAATAACAAGTGGGTGGAGCGGGATGGCTGGAGGGCAGGCGCGGGAGGTGGAGAGGGCAGAGCCAGCGGCTTCGTTGTGGGGTGGCCAGAAGATGGAGCGCCCTCTCCCCTTTCTGGGTCCTGCGGTGCCAGTTTTGGGGGTGAAGTGGAAACGGAGCATCCTCCTGGGGGCAGCCGGCTCTCAGGCGCCGAAGGAGTGCAGTGTAATCAGAGCCAGGCCGAGAGCTCTCTGTGGCTCTTCCAATCACAATGTTGTGATTAGTCACACTTCCTGCTTGAAAACAGGCAGATATTAGAAAGGGAAATCCTGCCGTGAGGTTGGGATAGGATTTCAGATGGGTCTTTTCTGCAAATAAGATTGGAGGCTGGAGGAGGAGGAAGGAACTTTCTCTCAGGCTAGTGCTTAATGAGCCTCAGAGGAAAGGATGCCCTGAGATCCTGGAACCTGGTTCCCTGTGTCTTCATTATATGTTAGACTTTGCCGTCCAACTGACTTGGACCAGCACTTAGATTTGGTGGGCCGGTGAGATGTGGGTGAGGACTTGAAATGGTTTTACAGAAATGGAAGAAGGCTTTCTTAAGCAGATTTGGGGCTGTTGGTCAACACCTGTTGGGCACTGACAGGGGACATCTGGGAAAACTGGTGAGATCATTGGGCAAGTTACTTAATCTCTCTGGTCTTAGTTTCCTCATCTGTGAGCTGGACACACAGAGGCTTTATTTCATAGGATTGAGTGAGTGTTATGGGAGAAGAAGCTTAAAAGCACTTAATGTGAGCCTTCAGGAAGCGTGAGCTCTTATTCTCATGAGAAATTCATCAGTTCTGTACGTCACAGGTGTTTGCAGTTAGGCTTGCTGAGGTATGGTGAAAGGCTGTGGCTTTTAAAATTATTATTATTACACTTTGAAGTTTAAAAGACTGATTTCTTTATATACTCAACATTTTCTACAAATACAAATGTACGGTTTGAAATTCAGTCCTAAGAGGTTAGCTCAGAGCTCTCGCTGTTGCGGTGGTGGTGACTGGCACGTTGAAAGAAAGCAGGTTGCATTTTACTTGAAGCCTACAAAGAACCTTCTCAGCTTTGAACTTTAAACTTTACAAAGGAACAAATAAAGTGCATTGGAGCAAAAGTTCCTCAACTCTTCTGCCACCAACAGATAAGGTTAAGGGTCCCTTAGTCTCTCTTTGGACTTAAGGAAAGTGTGGACTTTGGGACAACCTTTGTAAGGAGACTAACTTCTGTACATTTTTATTTTTTACCATAGGACTTTGGGAAAATAGATTTCAACCATATGGAGGTGGTGAACCAAGAATGTTAAAAAAAATCCAGCATTTTGTTCATTCAGAAGTAAAGTGATGACTGCTGGTTGAAAAGTATATTTTTGTTATTAAGGAAGCAAATTAAAATTGCAAGAAAACAATGGAATGATCAGCTTGCAAAAGTTATTTGGTTTGATTAAAAGCACCAATAAATGTGTCTTGGTTCTATAACTGCTTCATTTAGCACTTGACATATAATAGATTTTTTTACAGCATAATATCTCCATTGAAATATAATCATTTTGCAGAATGCTCAACTGAATACTCTTATAAACATGCTGTTGGGGGACTCACCCCGGGCGATCATCAGGAGATCAGGACAGTGTGCACAATTGATGGACACGTGAGGGATATGGCAGTTGAGCTTGGAGCAGAGAAGGTGATTTGTTGCAGAGCAATTACCCTAATGCATTCTTAAAAGCATAAAATAAAGAATCATTTCATTTGCTGAAAAGATATTTTAGGTATTTCAGTAAAGCAGTGACAGAATATTTTGATTGTCACCTTTTTTTTTCTTTAAAGTTAGATAATTACATTTACCAGTTAAAGAATTGCCATTTAAAAATAATATTTTGTCTAAATGTTTAAAGATGTCTATTAAAAATGTATACTGAACATGACAGCGGCCTTTTCATGCTGTAATTCTAGTCGGTGGTCTGAAAACAATTAGGATGAAAAAA